TTGATAATCATTACGATGATATATCTCGTTTGCATTTCTTAAGATTTTATGCTATTTTTATTATGCATCGTGATTGATTAATTTTTGTTGCTGTTGATTCACTTTCTTATATTGATGATTTTATGTTTGCATTTGTTCTATGTTTCATATAGTTTCTTTTTTGATTGCATTTTGTGATTACTGTTTCTTTTGTGACTATTTCGTTTCTTGATTAGCATTTCGATTTTTGTTGGTTTTTATTTTTTGAGTGGAAAGTTTCAGCAGTGGCAAAATCCGGTAAACTCTGAATGTGGATGGGGATCTATATTATGTTCCCGCCTCACCCAAACCTACTTTTAAAATGTACATAGGCTAATAGGAAAAGTTTTTTAAGCATATGTAAAAAAGTTAAAGAGAAATTTCGAAATTACATTACATGATTTCATGTACATACAAGGTATCGTATCATTTCACTCTGATATTTAGCCAATGTTTTTGTAAAATATGATTCATTAACGGTTTCAACTCTTTATAATGTTTATTTTGTTGACATCGATGATTGAAACACATTGGCACTAGGAATTGTACTGAATGTGTTACTTCAATATGTCTTTGTAGTTCCATTAATCCTAAGTAATGTTTACTATCATTATCAAGTTTATTACACGCAGAATTGTATGGACATCGAAGAGGATAAGGACGCGATGTTGCTAAATGATACTGGAAGGTATTTCTTGTTTTAAATGGTTGATTACAATTTTGATAACTGCACTTCTTATATACTTTGTCTTTTTTTACTGTCGACGATGTGTTTGAATTTACAATCAATACAACAGCTTCTAAATGCATATGTAGGATATGTTTCAACACATGATTCCAAGTTACGAACGGTTTATTGTATTGACATTCCGAATTAAAGCATACTGGCTGAGAATACAATGGTGCATGTTTTGAATAGACATGTTCACGTAATTTCCATATGCCAAAATATTTTTTTGTTGATTGTTGACATTCAGATCCAAACGGGCATAGAAGAGGAAGAGGATGTTCATATGCTTGATGTCGTTTCAATATTATTTCATCCCAATACACTTGGCTACAATTAGAATACGAACATTTAAACGGATCACGGAAATCCCAAGTTGGAATAGTTATCGGCAGGTTTAGCTGACCATAACGAGTATATATGCGAGATAGTACCAATCTTTTTTCTTGTGTATTGAAATTATTATTTCTAAAATATATATATAAATGTGTGAATAATAATGAAATTCACGAATCAGAATTACAATAAAACTTACGTGAATAGATTTTCTGTATGTCTTAATATTATATGTTGTAATAAAGTGGACCAATCTTCCCAATTTCTTGAATTTATACATCGAGGAATAGGACATTTGCATTGTATCGTTGAATCTGTATGTTCAGATATAATATGATTTTGTAATAGAAGTATCCCAAAATAATTTTTATTTGATTGTTTACAATTGCTACTCCATGGACATTGAAGCGGAATTGAATGTCTTTCTATTATATGTATATATAATGAACGTCGTTTTTTGCACGATATTGTGCAATTTTCAAAACCACATTCGTGTTTTCGTATTGTAATGATATTTTCTCGATTTTTTGAAGAGGATACTGATGATATTTCATCATCTGTATCTGTCTGATCACTTACATGCATAATTGATTGATGATTGTACAGAGCATCTTCATTCCAAAATTTCTTCTTGCAACCATCAATATTGCATTTTATGTTTATTTTGTTATTAGTCTCTTTGTAATATTCTGTAATAGACGTTTCCGATGTTTCATCATCTGTAATTACTGGATCGACTGGATAATTGGCTGATAGATGATCTGGTAAAACATTTACATCTACATGTTTATTCTTGTATCCATGAATCTTTTGTTGTATAGAAGTTTGAATGGATATTTTTTTTGTTATTTCATGTTGTACAACTACTTGTGAAGTTGGATGTTTAGCCAATTGGTGGCTTCTTAAAGCATCCGCATTCTTAAATTGTTTCTTACAATTGTCAACATCACATTTTATCAATTGTCTTCTGTTAGATTTCTTTGGTTTCTCTGTAGTAGACATCATCGTTGTTGTTGTTGTTACTTCAATATTTGACTCTTCAATTTGATTATCATTAAAATTTTGCATTTTATTACTATAATATAAACAGAAATAAAATTTTAGTCATATCCGTAGGCAATATATTAAGTTTCAATTATTCTGTTAAAAAGCGCCTCAACACACATATAAATCAAGTGACTTACTTAATTAAATATTCAATTCGATTTGAACCTTCTTTTATGTTTTCCAACCAAGAATAACTTGAAATATTTGCTTGTGTTTTTTTATTGAATTTTAATTGTTCAATTAATTCTTCGTAAGTGTTTTCAATTCCGTGTATAATCCAAATATGATCACATTTATGTTGCCAGTCATTGATTGCTGTATTTATCGATGAATACAATCGTATACTTTGAGGATAAGTTACTTTTAATATCTTATAATAGTGATCAATATCTGTCGAGGATGAATTGTAACAAATATAAAAATGAATATTTGATGGATTATTCATCAATTTCATCACTTGTTCATTGTGTAATTTACATGTTAAAACATCATTTAATTTAGCAAGACGATTTAAGGTATAAGGATGAACATTGCTAAATAGTTCATGTCGGTCGAAATCCCCATCGACGAATATACAATGTTGAATTTTGTGCGAAGTCATTTACTAGTTTTTTTCTCTACAATAAAAATGTAATTAATTTATCGGAGATTTAAAAAATCTTTTCCATAGGTAATAGGAGAGCATATGATTAACTTTTAAATTTTTCTCTGAGAAACTCTTGAAAACAAGATTCCTTCTAACCAAGAAGTTAAAGAGAGCTATTCAATTAGACTAATAACGAAAAAGAAAGACTTTCTTGATGTGATAAAATACACTCTTTTGTACGCCCGTCTCAGTCATTGACAGAAAACGATCTAGGAATCTGAATGACGGTTACTATCGATGATGATTAAATTTCCAACGTTCTTCAGAAAAAAAAATCTATCTATTCAGTTTTTCATCGTACTCTTGGGGATGATTCCATAAAAACGTAGACCAAACTCTGAATCTCTATGTCTTCAGTATTCTAATTTAAAACATATTCGGGCCTTACCTGTACACGATACGCATCTAATGTAACGGTAACATAAGCGGTAATTTATATTGTGCTTCATATTTATACTTGTTAGATTATCACCAAGAATTATGTAAAAATATTTTACCAAGACATGTCTGTGTTGCACAAGTAAGTGAAACGTGTACTGATAAGAACACGTCACTACAGATAAAGGTGTCTCATAGACAAAACATTAGATGAAATCTTCAGTTATTTCTATGTTTTCATAATATGAGTTTATAAATGAAAAATAACACTTGTGTCTTAAAAAACATCAAAACGTTAATATCTATTGTGAAAGGATATATACATATTATGCATGTTCTGTCATATTTATGTCAGTGTTCAATTTAAAAAGCTATTTTTTCTTATAGTTGAGTAATTTGCATCAGTTTGTATAGACGTGACGAGAAAAATACATTGAGGAAAATTTTATAATATTATTTCTACTGATTTGTCATCTTGAGAATGTGAATGAGGATATCGTTGGATGGAACCGTTTTCATCATCTCATGCATACACATCCACCTTAAAGAATCTTTTGCGCCGAGAAGATATTTTATATCGATAAAAACATAAAAGCAAATACACAGAAGCGTATTATGTTTCAAATTTCATCTTGGTAATATAATATAAAGAGAGTGGGCGTCGAACAGGCTGTTGATACTTAAAGTTATTTTTCAATGATTTTGATGTATATGTATATATGTTTATCATGAATATGTTATGAAATAATGATCCAGAAAAGAACGGTGTCAGTTAAAAATATATTCATTTCTTCATTTTTTTTCTCTGTAGGCCATAATGTCAACAACGACTTAGTAACGAACGAGTATAAATTAGAGTAATTCTCACATAATTCTCATTCGATTCTTAACTTTATACAGGATTCATCATATTTCTTCGACACAGAATAACAGTTGATCATGAAGCTACTTATCAGTTTTCTTTGTCTATTGGTCTTCAGTAAGTTATATTATCGTAGTATCTAAACTCATACTTACTATATAAATCATTCAGTGGTACAGCAGAAGACTGATGCTATCAATTGCTATCTTTGTAGCCAAGGTACAGATGGATGTGGTCCATCATTCAAAAAAGAAGGTAGTGGTGTCTTGCAAATATCTAATACAGATATCAATCATTGCGTTGTACGTATTTTGATATTCTTATCTGGATCTTTATATAATTTTGTTTTCAATAGAAATTGGTAGCTAAGAGTAACGACAACGCCGTTTCACGCGGTCCTGGTGAGGGAAACTGCACCGCGGGTACTGTTACGCCTCTGGGTATGGGTATAGAGTTCAACCAATATTGTTGTACAACAAATTTGTGCAATGGAGGTTCGATGACAAAAACAAATCTTGTAATAGGAATGATGGCCATATTCATCGGGCTATTACTTGCCAAATAAACTCATCACTTTTGCTTTTTTATATTAACATGTAATCATTTTATTCCTTTTTCATCTAATCCTGATGCACATATTTTAATTTTATTATTATTATTATTATTTCATAAATAAATATGCAAATCGTATGAAAGAAACAAATTACATCTAAATGAGTCGAACTATTTAGTAAATACAGCAAAGTAGTGAATGCTTGAGGATGGGTATGATTGTAACTGTATATGAGAAAAATTTATACATTCAATATTTACAGACGTCTGAAACAACTTTGTGCAAATAAATAGGATGAAAATGTAATGACGATTGCAATTACATATAGGACTGGGTGTGGATATTATATTTATCTCACAACTACATTAAATTATGAATCTATATAAAATCTTCACTCGTGAATTCAAATGATTATTTAGGATACCGTAGTCTTCTAACCTTGAATAATTTTATATAAAATTCAAATTTATAATTTCTTAAAGATCAAATTAAAACAAAAAATATAAAAATAATAATTATTATCTAAACGTGTACATATGTGTGGCTTAAACATGTAAAAATTGGCTTCGTAGTCGTTCTATAAATGTTATATTTTTCTAAAAAAAAGCTTTTCTTAGAAAAGTAATGTAATTCTCGAAACCATAATGTTAGACTGCTTTCAAGACGTACATAATAAAATTTGTCATTTTGCGTCGCGATGATCTCAAAAAAGGAACATCACAAAAATACTCGTTTTGAACAGGAGGCTTATAGTTCATTTATAGGAAGCGTTACAAAAACATGATTTTAATTGTTTTTCAGTTTTCGAGATAATGGAAACGAAAAGAAAAAACAAATTTTTTACAACTGATAATACATGCTGAATCATCGGTGTTCTTATGCAACACATGTTAGTTTAAATTCTCCATTTAGATAATTTCATCTGCATGTTAAATTATTGTCACTTGTATTTTGATAGTATATAAATTTAACTCAATTCTAGGACACTTGTGAATGTTTAGAAACCTGTAAAAATCTTAAAGTCAAGTATCATCTAGTATATATAATTGTCTATCTCGTTTCTTTTCCTTTTGATTTACTAAAAACTTCTTTACCAAAACGAAGAACATGTTTTTAGAAAACCTATGTAGAATATATCACATAAAATTTTTATTCATTATTAGATTGTTCTTATTCAAAACCGCATTTGCATTGATATACTTTATGTTTTATGTAATATAAAACGCCTTGAAATCCAATAATTAATGAAAGAAATTTAAGTCAAACAGGCGATGTATATAGAACACTTGAAAAGAAGTAGAACACGACAAACTTCATTGCTTGCTTCAGAAAAATTATATATTATGTTTTTACTTAAGTTATAAGATACGTTGTTTCCAGAAAGACTACATCTTTCAATTCTATCGTTACATGAATTGATTCTTACTGTTAAATCGTTAAATAAATTCTGATAAAGATATAGTCACATTTCGTTTTAATGAATTTTACGAATAGGTTTTTTTTACAAACGTCGATACTAATAACAACTTTATTTGATTCATTCTCGTCTGTTAATTGCAATGAATTCAGAAAAGGATACACTATACCAGAAAATTACGGTTCATAATGAACATTTTATGAGAAAAAGAACGACTGATTGTCGATAGAACTATTTAAGATAAATTATTAATCAATAGTGTTGTTCCTTCTTCCACTTTTTTTTGCTTTTCCTTTCTTTCTACAACTTCTTTCTTCTTATATTTTTAATAATTTTTTTCTATTCTGTTAGTTAGTTTTCTTGAATAATACAATAAAAAAATGTTGTTATTTCCGTTAAGGTTTATCTTCCATTGTTTTTCTTTTTAGAGTAAAATATTCGGTCTCACTAATTATAAACTAATGATAATTTAATCGTATTTTTCGCTTCTAATAGCTCTTATAATTATGTCTTTCTCTTGACAATATCCTAGTAAATTATACTCACTCGTAAACCACTTTACATCAATTGATTACGTAGTAACATGACAGTCATGTTCAGTCCCTCTTTATAACGTTCATACAGAATGCTATACGATATATTATCGACATTGTTAAAAAGAACTCTAAAAAATCTACCGCTATTGCTTGCTCTTTTTTTTAAATAATGGTATAGAATGTTTCAATAATATTGTCAGGTATGGTAAACGTGAACTATAGATAGTGTTATATAACATCGCTGTTTTCTATCGTATGTATCTGTAAACAGTTCTTAATATTGACAATCAATTCTTATAAAATGTAGTAATGTAGTTAGAATTTTTTTACTAAACAAGAAAAAGTTTTTTTATATTTTTTCAAATCTGCCTAAAATAACACAAGCTTTTTTATTAGAATCTATATAGAAAAGCATGAGTTTAAATCTCTTTTTTTATTCTAATGACAAGTATTACAGAGCACGCTTCTTCTTTTAGTTGTAAGTTATAAACTCCGATATTTAATTTCATCAGTTAATAGATAGTATGTATAATATCTAATCAATCTTCAACATGTATAACACACTTTTATAGACAACAACAATTTAATACTTATTCGTGCAAGCCATACTAATTAGGTCTGCACCAGTCTTATACGATGGATGACAAACAAGAATAGTTTTTGCTATGTAAAACACCCAGTCTTTACCCGTCCTTCAAGTCGTTTAAACACTATCGATTAGACTATACAACGCTATTGATAAACTTTAAAGAATTAGACGGGAAGAAAAAAAGGACTGGGGTTAACTGTCAAAAGTTCGGAAATTTCCGGTCTTTTAACAGTCACCCCCAGCCCTTTTTTTCTTCCCGTCTAATTCTTTAAAGTTTAACAATAGCGTTGTATAGTCTAAACAATAGTAAATTTAAATGACTTGAAGGATTGATAAAGACTGGGTGTTTTATATTGTTAGATTGTATCATATTTACAAGCCGAATAATATGAGTTAAGTATAATCCAACTGTGATTGTTCACATAGTTAATCAAAAACTACTAAAATCATACTTTTAGTACACTTAAATAAATAAATAAATTATTGCTTATTTTCAACATTTTATAGAAGAAATGAGTTATTCTATTAACAATTAATAATGAAGTTGAACTATTGTACTGGAACTGTTTCATTATCAAAAATATTAATATTGTTAATTATTCTTGTTATCATTCCTATATGCTTTAATGTTATTGAAAAAAATTACTCATTTCGCTTAGAAGATAATTACATTCAGCCACGAGGTGTCATCACAACACTTATTCGTAGTGATACTCGAACAATTCTTTTAACTATTAATATGATTCATTCAATAGTAAAATTTCATTCGACTAAGAATAATACTTTCTATCCATTAATTATTTTTCATGATATAAATCTTACTTCTGTTATGCGTCAATATATATTATCATGTACAATTAAAAACAATACACAAATGAATATTTCGTTTGCACTTGCCAATTTTCAAACATCATCACAACCAGCCAATGAATCACGATTGGCCAAAACAATTGGATATCGTATTATGTGTCAGTTTTGAACGTATGATATCTTTTATCATCCAGCAATTACTGAAGGTCATTACGATTATCTCATGAGAATGGATGCTGATTCGTATTTTTCTGATGTAACTAAAAAAGGATCTTTTTTTTTATATACATCGACAAAAATTCGATTATATTTATCGAGCTGAATATTGGGAACCGATTACACCAATGGTACCCGTTCTAGAACATTTTCTTTACGATACATCCGACGTTTCTAGTTGTATTTATAATAATTTTTTTATTATTCGTTTGAAATGGTTTTATGAATCAAAACGAGTTCAAACTTTTATTCAAGAACTAATTCGAGATGATTTAATGGTTCGAGAATATATTGGTGATGGATGTGCTCATGCAGCTATGCTAAAAATTGATAATCAAGTTAGAGTTAAACAAATTACTGATATTTCTTATGGTCATAATTATCATATCATGCCACGTGGTCAAGGAACGACATTTGTTGATGTGAAAGAATTTGATGAAGAAATAAAGAAATCTTGTCAACAGTTGACCGTACTCAGAAACAGAAAAGGCACGCTAACACGAATATCTATTTCATAATAAATAAAACAATGTGTTTTACCAGAAATGTGCCGCCCTAGAGGTGTAGGAGAGTGCGCACCTTCCGCTTTTGAAAAATTTTCAGTTTTTCCCAGCAAAGTTGTACATTTTATTGTAAAAAGAAACTGTTCTGCGCTCCTCTCCTCACTTTTTTCTCTGCGACACATCCCTGTATCTCATGTTAATTATTTTATGTCTATTCAAGATTTTTCTGCTTTATTTTTAACTTACAAACTCATCTTGAGAATGTAAGTGAGTATACAAGGACTTGAAGTATATTAATTTCCTTTACCTTGATAAAAACATGAACTCGACTGAGAACTTTTGAAAGATGAAAACAATTTATTGTAACATCATGAAAGGTAAGGTTGTAACGAGATTTTGTTAAGTAATCGTTAGAAAAAATCTAGATTCTCAATTAATATATATTTATTGAATATTAGTGAGACAGATAAAAATATATTGAATAGTTCGTTTTGTAGTTCTTTAAAAGCTCTATCAAATGGTATACAGTTTGTATTTTTTTTTATATTGAAGAACATAGATAATTGTTTAAGAATTTTATGATTTTTATAGGATGTCAAAGCCTATAATAAATAGTTAACTCCGATATACAGATACTTTGCTCTACTAATGCTTTCAGTTAAAGTAAATAGTGAATAAGTTGAGATATTGAAGAAAAAAAAATAATGCCTCCACGCAGGATCGAACTACGGACCTCCAGTTTACAAGACTGGCGCTCTACCACTGAGCTATAGAGGCTTGTTGACCTAAGCGTTTTACTCTGATAAAAATCTAATCCTAATCAAACTAAAACTTGTATGAACTTCTCATATGTAAAAACACACATTTCAACAAACATAAATTAGTCCAACATAATATAAAATTAATAATCACATTATATAGTTTTTTTTCTTAAAAAAGATGAAAGCAGTGCATAAAATCTAATTAAAATGAGACGCGAAGGGATGTCATATTTTTTTCATACCCTTCGGTAATTATTTTATATTCAAGATGTAGCTCGTAGTGAATCGGTACACATGTATGATTTCTAATAAATGATATTAGTTTTTTAAGAATGAGAATGGATGTCATGCTTGTTGTTTCCATGTCAACTATAAGATGCTTATAGAATTACATTTCTTTAATAAAATAAAAGAAATTTTACCTAAATATACAATCCTTATATCTATATGTAATCGATAGAAGAAACTGATTCTATTTATTAGAATGTTAACGCTAATAACTACATAAATCATGTCTGCTGTGAGTACTGTACTTATTTAATATTCTATTCAACTATCACCTTGATATGAAAGACTTTTCATGCTGTGTCTATACCAATCCATAATCATCGTAAATTATAATTTATAAACTTTTGTCTGCTTATCTAATGTACTTGAGGGAAAGTTCTTGTCTTATTTATAATCTCTAGTTTATGAATTTTTTTCTACCGTAAGCAAATACGGGCTTCCTTTTTTTAATCTATGTGTCGAAGCAATAGGCGACAGTTTGACGTTGCATTTATTTTATAACTCAAATAAGGTAACTCAAGATTAGATTTCAAAGTAGTTATTCATTATATTGTTATAGGTTTAAATTATTTCATGCTGTTAAAACATAATATTCTAACTCACATTAATGTGTTACTGAATTTTACTGTCTCATTATCTTTTTTTTGCATATTTAGATTGTAACCATAAGATATACATTTAAGAAATACTAACATGTCGTTTGTTAATGTTACAATCAATGAATTGAATGATGCATCCTCGAAAACCATACTGATTCTATCATTATTTAGTATTATACCAGGTGGAATCGGACTTATATTTAATATTCTTATTTTCAGTCGACCATCTATGTGTCGTGAACCATGTGCAGCATATTTTTTTTGGTCAACATGTTTCAGTTTAATTTACGTACTCATTCTACAGCCTGTACGTGTTTTAGCAGTAAGTTTCAATATCGATCAAGCCAATTATAATCTTGGAATTTGTAAAATCGAATTCTTTGTATTCTATATAACACGTTCAGCATCTTCTTGGTTTATAGTAATCGCATGCATCGATCGTTTTTTACATAGTTCAGCAAATGCACATTTTCGTCAGATGAGTTCATTGAAGATAGCAAAAATAGTTATTCTTATCACTAGCATTGTGATTATTCTTTTGCATAGTCACATGCTCGTTTACTATGAAATAAGCTATTCATCTGATCAATTTGGAAATATAACACCAGCATGTTTTGGTAGAAAAGGTATTTATCGTACATTTATTGGTTTATGGAATTTGGCTTTATATTCATTTTGTCCATCGATTTTGATGCTTTTTTTTGGTCTTCTTACATTGAAAAATCTTCATCAACATCGTCTTGTAATTCCAGTGAATTTCGAAACTAATAGACAAGTTCGACGAACAGATACTCAATTATTACGTATGTTAATTGCTCAAGTACTCGTAATCTTTATCTGTACTTTACCCATATCTATTATTCAACTTTATTCTTCATTTACTCTTAATGTTGTTAAAAATACACTTCGACTTGCTCAAGAAAATTTAGCTAGTCGAATTGCAAGTGAATTGACATATTTTGCTCACTCAAGTACTTTTTTTTTGTATACATTAACGGGCACTATTTTTCGCAAGGAACTTTCAAAGATTATTAGACAATATTGTCGTTTCAATCATAATCGACTGAATAGAATTCATGATGAAACGCATCGAATGTCTGTTTTACAAAAAAGTCAAAAAACACAAACACATACTAATCATCCATAATAGAATAATATTACTTAAAAGAAAAAAAATTCATAATATAAAAAAATGAACATTAACTTTATCTTGTATTTATACATTCTCAATTTTTATTTCTTCAAAATTAAAATTAAATCTGATTCCTATATCTCTTCGATAATACAAGCTCTGAGGGTATTCATAGAAGTATCTCGTTTGGAAATATATTTAAGATTTTATATTAAGATATTTAATCAAAAGTTTTATAATATGAATTTTTTTATGAATGTAGACGCCGATGCAGAATAAATATCGCCTAGTTGTGTCTACAATAGTCTTCATCCTTGAAGATTATCTGGCAATCGCATCGATAGTCTTAGAAGTGTGTTGTCTTTTAACTTATAGTGACAGTCAGTAAAATCAGCATACACTATTATCATACGATGATTCGTTTGTTGTCTTTCGGAAATTAATTTCTGGTACAAGAACTTCCATATATCTGGTTCTTCACTTTGTAATCGATGATCTGAGTACCACACCGTTACGTCACAGTAATTTTCTTTCATAAGAATACGTTT